GATATTGCTTACTTGTATGGCTCAGGCAACCTGCTCAAATTCTGTAAGTCTCTGTTTACTTACTAGCCAAGGGTATCATGTTTGTCTTATTTACCTTTCAAAGCTTCTGTGAAGATGAAATAGAGCAATATACATGAAATCTCAGTAACTGTCCTGTTAGCAAAAGCAGGCAGCCCTTGTAGGGTTGGGGCTAAGGGTGTAGGCCCACCAGGTTCCCTCTAGATTCACCCTGATGAACACAGGAGAATGTCCTTAAGTTTCCTTCTCTTCACGGTTTACCACAACCTACCGTTTGTTCGCTGTCTCCAAGCACACAGTCATTTTCAGGTACTGATCGTCCTTTCGCTCTTCCAAAGTGGCAGACACGAGAGAAAGTTCCCCGAAGAGAGAGACGAGCCAGGTCAGGCGAGAAATGCCGCTGAAAGCAGGGAAACCAAACCGCTCTTCTTCCAATGGGCCAGCTGTGGGAATTACAAACACGGTGGGAAGCAGGAAGTAAAGGACTGACAGCTGGAGAGCAGGGGCGGGACACACGTGGGTATGGTAGGGAGTAACCCTTGTGGCTGGTGATCAGGACAGCACAGCCTCGCCTTACCACATGGGGTGCAAGATGACGAATCACACTGATGAAAACTCAGGTGCTTGAATATAAACCCTTTCATAAAAGTGTCTCAATTTTTTCTTGTTTACTAGATTTGGTTTTGTTAGTATAATAAAACATTTTATTGGGAACAGCAGTCCATCTAATCCATGGGCTAATAAAAATGTTTCAGATTTCTAATATGTATGTGCACATACACTATACACAGACACATATATACCAATAATAAGTATCCTCATCAGTTAGTGAGTTGAAGAAGTAAGTAAGAAATCAACATATTCAGCTCAAGTATTATGTTTATATATGTACAATCTAACTATCTGTATACATGGCAAGAAGGTAAAAGTTTCATGATAACTGAGAAGAATACTATAATATCCAGAAACTATGTCAACATCAAGAAAATTAACATAGTGGTAAGTGTTTTCTTAATCTACTTTCCTGAGCAAAATTATATTCAAGAGTATCTGTGTGATAAATCTATTCAAGATACAGCTCCTCTTTTCCTCAGCCTAAATTTTAAACATAACCTAGATTTAAAAGACTTCATATCCATTACATTGCTCTATAAACCAAATCTTTCTTATAATTTTGATACCAAAGATAAATTATAAATGAAAGCAAACAGACTTCCCTTCGCTATGGTGGAGTAGGCCATTGCTATACTCGTCTCCTCCCATTGCTGCATCAAAATTACAACAAAATTATAGAAGACCCATTGTTGAGAACCACCTGAAGAGTAGCTGAACAGAACTCCTAGAACTAAGGTATAAAGAAGAAGCCACCGGAGACTTGTGGGAGAGGCAGAGAGCTGGTCTGAACAGGCCCCACATCCATGTTTGGAGTTAAGAAATGAGAGGGCTCTCTCAGCTGTGGAGAACCCCTGAGGAGCAAGCAGTCCCAGCCCCACACCAGGCTCCCCAGCCTAAGGCTTCAGAGCCAGGAAACAAACTCCCACAACTTCTAACTGTGGGGATGGCAGTGAGTGAGATGAAGGGCTGTTGGAGACCTATGCACAGACTCACTTACTTAAACGCAATTTGTTCTGATCTCCAACACTGGGGCAGCAGCATGAAAAGTGGCAGGGACATACAGGAAAGGGGGGCTGTTGGATTTGTATTTTTCTGACTGGTTTGTTTGATTATTATGTTCAGCATAATAATCACCAGGTCCACCCACACATTTTTGCCAATTGAGAAATGGGGGGAAAAAGCAATGCCAGGCCGCATCAGGGTTTTATTTCTTTCATGAAAGCTCTCAGGGAAGGTGGCCAGACAAGGAACCCAGGTAAGGGTGTGGAAAGACAAGGTGTCCATCCAAAGGCGACTACAAGAGGAGGCGGCTCCAGGAGGCTCATTTCCTGTTACTAATGGAGGTGCTCGAAGAACTACCAAGACAGAGTAAACAGCCAAATATATAGTGCTGTAGGTCCAAATTTTGGCCACAGTCAATGTCTCAGTAACTTGTGGGAGGAAAGGGGGGCTAGCATATTCTATTTGCTCCACAAAGAGACATTCTCCTCTCCAAGAACCTTTCCCTCCATCCTTTTTTAAAAGAGGTTTCACTTTCAACTTCCTGTGAAAAAATAATCTGCAGCTTAAGATTTCATGAGGCAAAACTCTGCTTAGTAGATGGGGACAGTGGCATAACAATGCTTACGATTTCTAATACACTTTTTACCTAAGCACACCAAGCAATTCAGTCTCATTTGAGAACAAAAAGGAAAATTAGATATTTTTATTGTTTGTAGGTGCATAATAAATTAAACTGGCCTCAGTCAGAGAGTCTTTAGTAGAAATAAATCCAAGCTCACCCTCTAGACTTGAGCTAGGAAATAACCATCTGGCATCCTGGCCCCACCAGTTACACGTGACCTGTGATCCACCTAAAACTGACCTGTGAAGAGAAGAGATCCTTTCAGCAGGTCTTTCCCCACCACTTCTTTTTTCAGGAACGCAAACTCCTCCATCAAGAGCTCAATATGTTCCTCATGCAAGACTTTCCCTGTGACGACAAAAATGGAACAGAAAGGCAATCATCATCAATTGCATAGAGCTGTGCATCCCAGAGCATGAATCTGTGTTTCCCCAGCACAGAAGGACATACAGACCTCAAAACCAATTTGGGGACCACTACACGTTTAAACACCCCATCTGTAGGTAGTGCCAATTCTAAAATTACAACAGGAATAACAATCTAAGAAAGCAAGATTATATCCACCTGCCTCAAAGGCAAGATGGGATCAGGAAAATATCAGAATGGTGTAGCATAATATTCTAAGATACAAAAAGAAGAAAAGGGGTTGTTGAGATTAAAGGAAAGAAGCTAGAACTAGACTTTATTTCAAAGAATTGAAAAAAAAAAGATGACTTTTTAAATTATTTGGGTTAGAGGGAAAATAAAACCTTAATATTTATATGTTTTTTTAATTCTAAAAGAAAACCATTTAAAAATTTTTGCTCTAACGGCTTTTTCATATCTGAGCCAGGAATTTCATAACAACCCAAACTATTTTGTAATTAAGTGCAAAGTGTGGTTATGATCTACATTTTCATTGAAACAAAGAGAGAAATCTGGGCCATCGGAAGATACTCACCAACCTTTTCTTAACCCAGACCCACAGAAAACACTGCAGAACTTACTGGGCTTGTTCTGCACCTCACTGAGTGGGCGGGAATGTCTTCGGAGTCTCCAGAGAGTGAGGTGTGTGGGAGAGTGAGATTCCTCCCACCCACTCCTAACCCATAAATAATGTCAGAGCTTCTTACAGTGAACAGCCCTTCTCTCCTGTGGTGATTCTAACATGTGCATCCGCATGAGGGGAGGCTGGGCAAGTTTAACTATGTTTCAGAGCATGTTGTATTCTCTCCAGCACTATTTCTATATTTCCATTTCTGCATTTCCATGTCCATGGTCATTAAGAAAATTTTATCTTTCAACTGCATCTTTGGATGTTTTTCTATCATTCACTCAATGCTCTATTGTGATAATTGTGGCAACCACAGTATACACATATACACACAAATGTGTACGCGAGTGCTCATGCACGCACACACACACACACACACATCCATATACATATTTTCTTTAGGTCAGTTCACTAAAAGGACTTTGAAGCAAAGATAACTGAAAAGAAAAAGAAAATATAAATATTGGCATCAAAATATCAATTACTTCACTGTTGGGAATGTAAATTAATGCAGCCTGTGAAAAACAGTATGGAGGTTCCTCAGACAAGTAAAGATAGAACTACCACATGATCCAGCTTCTGGCTATTTATCTGAAGGCAACAAAAACACAAACGTCAAAAGATATGTGCACCCCTATGTTCAATGCAGCATCATTTACAACAGCCAAGACATGGGAAGGATCTAAGTGTCCATTGACGGATGAATGGAAAAAGAAAATGTGATACGCACATACTCAATGGAATATTATTTCGCCATAAAAAGAAAATCTTGCCATTTGAGACAATATTGACCTTGAGGGCATTATACTATGTAAAATTAGTCAGACAGAGAAAGACAAATATCATATGATTTCACTTATATATGGAATCTAAAATAAAGGGAACAAAAACACTCATCGATACAGAGAAGAGATTGGTGGTTGCCAGAGATAGAAAGTGAGAAGTAGGTGAAGAAGGTAAAAAAGGTGGTCAAAAAGTACAAACTTCCAGTTACAAAATAAATAAGTTTGGGAATGTAATGTACAGCATGGTGACTATAATTAGTACTTACCTGTGTATTTGAAAGTTGCTAAGAGTAAATCTTAAAAGTTCTGGTACAAAAAAATTTTTGATGCGTAGTAATAAATCTTAGCTAGACTTGTGGTGATGGAGGTAAAGGGGGGAAGGAAGATATCTATAATACTACCTATATATATAAAAGCCTAAGTGACCAAATGACCAGTCGACTGGTCACTAAGACGCGCACTGATCACCAGGGGGCAGATGCTCAATGCAGGAGCTGCTTCCTGGTGGTCAGTGTGCTTCCACAGCGGCACACCACTCAGCTGACCGACAGGAACCAGATGCCAGACTCATGTCTGGCAAGCACAGCTGCAGAGGCACGAGCCTCTCCCACCTCTATGGCAGCACTACTGAGCAGTGGCGGAGGCAGGTGCAGCAGGTCTGGGATGAATGGGAGCAGCATGGTGCCCAGCCTGGGCTCGGGCTCTTCACCAGCTGCCTGCGCTTTGGGCACTACTACATCCTTTGGCCTGATCCCAGGCCTGGGGGGATTGGGCTGAAACCAGCAGTCCAACATCCCCCGAGGGGTCCTGGATTACAAGAGGGTACAGGCCAGGCTGAGGGACTTCACCGGTGCACGAATCTGTGCACCAGACCTCTAGTGAACAATAAAAAATTTATTTAAAAAAACAAAAGATAACTTCTTAGAATAAAATAAGAGGGCAATTGGCAATTAATGGACTTGAATTAATGGACTTAAATTTGACAGAAAAAGAAGAAAGAAAATACCCAGGACCCTAATTACCAGAAAGAACCACTACTAAAATATTGGTACATTTCCTTCCTGTCATACTGCTCTGGGTTCCATTTTCATGGTTGTAATTCTCTGGTAAAATACAAAAATTATATTGAATTTTAATATTAAAGTCTAAACATAAATTCATGTCTGTTGAAAATTGAGCAAATGTTGGAACAAAATACAACCCCCCCACCCGATTTCTACCAGTTAATCACAGTTACCATTTTCTTGTATATGTTTTTTTTCTTGCATATATGGGATTATGATGTTTAAGAAATATAGGAACAGTCCTGGCCAGTGTTGCCAAGTGGTTAGAGCATTGTCCTGCACACTAAAGGGTCATGGGTTTAATTCCTGGTCAAGGGCACGTACATGGGTTTCCGATTTGATCCCTGGTCCTGGTTAGGGTGCATGGGGGAGGCAACCAATCTATGTGTCTCTCTACATTGATGTTTCTCTCGAGCATCTCTTTCTCTCTCTCTCTCTCTCTCTCTCTCTCTCTCTCTCTCTCTCTCTCTCTCTCCTCCCTCTCTTCCTCCCTTTCACTCCCTGTACAAATCAATGGAAAAAAATAGACTCGGGTGAGGATACCAAAAAAAAAAAGAAATACAGGAACTTGCTTAGAGGTAATCTGAAGAGAGGTCTGGTAATTAGTCATCGATGTCACTGTGGGGACAAAGGACTAACAGGAAAGGAGCCCCAGGGAATTTTCTGGGCTAATAAAATGTGCTATATTTTGACTGGACTAATAATTACATTGGTTTATACTTTGTTAAAATTCATTTAACTCTGCACTAAAAATCTCAGCTTTTTATCATATGAAAATGACATCTCAATTTACAAAATGCCTAGATTTAAGTCATTCATTAAGTTATTTAGATGAATCTCAGAATTATTACTCCATTTCTTCAAGTCCTTTGTTTTGTTCTATTCAGAGTTGCTGCTGTAGAAGAAACAGACATATTTCTTAGCAATTCTTGCATCAAAGGGTTCTAGCTCTAAAACTAGTTTAACTATTGATGCAAGTGCTAGAGAATGTTTGTCCTGGTTATTATTTAAACTAGAGGCCTGGTACACAGGTTCATGCACCAGGGGGTCCCTAGGCCTGGCCTGTGCCCTCTCACAATCCAGACCTCTAGGGGGATGTTGGAGAGCCAGTTTCGGCCCAATCCCCACAGTCCAGGTGAGGGACCCCACTGGTGCATGAATCCGTGCCTCTAGAATGCATATAAAATCTTTGGTTAATCTCTTCCTGCCTTCCCCCCTCCCTCTGAGATTCATCAGTCCGTTCCATGTTTCCATGCCTGTGGTTTCCACTCCTGCATTGAGCATCTACCCCCTGGTGGTCATAGCTACTGGCTGGTCAGTCAGTCACTTAGGCTTTTATACATGTAGATGTGTCATACCTCACAAGCTATCCCTTATGACTGGTGAAGTGAGAGATGGGGCTTGAGAGACACTAATCCTAGAAGAATTCTGAGAAGCAGAAGAGCAGGCCATGAACTGTCCTGGGTCACCAACAGATACATTTTATGTGCATCCATAAAACAAGGTTTTCCATTCCATTTGTGATATATAAAGTGCAAAAAGTACATTTAACCAAGCACTAGTCAACTATATAAGAATCAATGCTGGGACTGTTTCCTATGGTATCTTATATAAATATGCCAGAACAATTCTCAGAATAATTTTTCGTATTTAAAGATGAGATCTCCATCTTTATAATTCTACTCCCTACCAACTGAAGCAGTGAACAATATAATTCTATCCTCTGCCAACTGAACTAACTATATATATAAAAGCCTGAGCAACCAAACGACCAAATGAGCGAACGACTGGTCTTCCGGTTGCTATGATGCACCACTGACCACCAGTGGGCAGATGCTCAATGCAGGAGCTGCCCCATGGTGGTCAGTGAACTCCCACAGCCAACCTCCCCCAGCTAGCCCACCTCCTGTGGTCCCTCCCCCATAATTGCAGGTGTCCCCTATTTCCCTGTCCATTGTTTTTTTTTCTTTCTTTTTCTAAAATATATTTTTATTGATTTCAGAGAGGAAGGGAGAGGGAAAAAGAGATAGAAACATCAATGAGGAGAGAGAATCATTGATTGGCTGCCTCTTGCATGCCCCCTACTTGGGATGGAGCCTGCAACCCAGGCACGTGCCCTTGACTGGAATTGAACCCAGGGCCCTTTAGTCCACAGGCCAATGACTCAATTGACTCGAATCAATTGATCCAAACTGGCTAGGGCCCATTGTTTCTTTATCCTTGTGTTTCTATCTGTTGTTTCAGTTTGGTGGTATTCTACAATTTTTCTGTTTCCTCTTTTTTTAAGTTATGTGTTTTAATTTTAGACTTTTGTGTGTGTGGTTATCATTAAGTTTATGCAAAAGAAAGTTTCATATATACAGTAGTCCTTTTTATTCTGAATGCATCTTTTCTCTAGAGATGTTTGAAAATTCAGACCTTTACCCTTCCTCTTTTATATTTTTCTTGTCAGGAATTTTCCTTATTTATGCTGTGAGTTAATTTCCAAATTGCAGTAGATCCTGTCTTTTCCTCTGTCTTATTTAGTATTTTTACCTTCTTTAACCTTAGTTATATTTAAATGTATAATATCCTGTTTTGAAAAAGGGCTACAATATCCT